AGATATAGATCTAATAGCACTTTTTTCTGTCTTCATTTTTCGTGTCTATTAGGTCAATTTCATCTGCCAGGTTGTTTCTCGATGCCTCGATACCATATCGTTAGATATTGGTATCTCTGGGTGTTTATTCATAACGGCCTATTCTGCTTCACAAACTCTTGAACTTGGTAGAAGCCAGCTGCAACGCATTTGTCCCTTATGGAGAACGCTAGGGTTGTGGGGCCATTTTACCCTCCTGCAACTGCAGAGGACACAGTTGTTGTCTTGCGTAGACATATTAGTCTTTACAAGCCTGTTCACTCTGTCGAGTGCATGATCTCGCTGGACTCGGGACTCCACAATTAATGCTAAGCCTTGTTGTTAGAGATGTGCTCTTTTCCCACCAGATTAGACTGACAGCCGTAGGATTATGCAGCTGTCGGTATTGGCATTTACGGAGTGACCGCACGTTGAGTCATCGTATCTTCAACAGTCACGATCACCAGGTTAATGAAACAGCGGTCGAAGTTTACCGCGAGATATAGTTGACTCGAACACTAACAGAAATTTTTGTGAAGCGCTCTTCCAACTGAGGTAATTAACACGTCCAATTTGACGGTATTTAAAAGATTGGTTGATACTTCAACCCATTTGCATTACTTGATTTGGTTCGTGTCTATCGCGCCGATATAAAGAAATCTATGTGCTTGCCTTTCCTCCTACAAAATGGAAGCGAGCGGAATTTTACTTCGGACTATGTGAATAGTATGGTACGTTCACTGAACAACCTATATCTCCGTAGCCTAATTGGATTTGATCCTTCAGTTGTCCCGCTGACCATCTTATATGGCTTGTTAAACATTAGCTCTTGGATTATACTAAGACACTGTTCCATTCCTCGACATGTATGCATTTCCCAACTGTATACTTTTCCATTGCTAAATGATTCCGTTTGCAAAGGATTTCTATATCACTCTGTTCTATTCGCATTCAGCTGGCTTGCCGAACAACCTCCTCGTGGTGCCAGCTGGGTGGTTCGGGATTTTCCCGTTCCAGCAAATGGTTCGGCGGCAGTGTTCCAGGACGTGGTGGGTTTTCGCCTGGCAAGCGTTCTCCCTATAAAAAGCCACATATGTCCGTTTAACAACACTGTGACGTGGCGGACGTGACTCGCCACTAAATAAAGTCACTGCCCCTTGCTTCACCCTGGCGAAGCATTGTATTCCAGCAAGTTGATGCTGTAATTTCAGGGAGCATTGGGCCCCTGTTTGGCAAAGGAACAAACGAAAGGCGTATGAACTGATCAATCAGTCACCGGCTCCCAATGGGCGCGATTTCCTGAATTCGCTCCGCTGCCTTGCGGGCAGGCTATTAAGCCACAGGCTCGGGGTGGTGTCCCCTAAGTCAACACCCTACTTCGGCTTGGACAACCGGGTAGTATTTCGCCCTCTGACGAAACCGTGGACATTGTTGTGTTGTGTTGTGTTTTCTTTTATTATTTCTGTACCTTGTTTTGAGTTCCATGGTTTCCGATGGTGCAATATCTATTCATAGACTGTTGCAAATATATATATATATATATTAGCATTCACCTTAATATTTTCCTCCCTTCTTCAAGTTCAAGTAGGATCGGAACAGTGAAAAATTCCCATGTATGTTACTTGGTGAAAGTATCCTTGAGCCAAGGTACATATCAACGGCGATTTCGACAATCTGGGAAAGCCAAAGTAATAAGAACGAAGCACGCCATCATCAAACAATTAATGCCCACGTGACCCGCACTTGCAGTTCCCGCTGCGGTGGCCACGTAAATTAGGAGTAAAAATACCAAGTAATAAAAAGCAGAAATAAGCGGAGAAATAAAATTGCTAAGAATATTAGTTAAGAGTAAAATTTAAGATGTCAAAGAGAAGAATTGCAACTACAGACCAGGGGTGTAGATTTTATGCTCAAACTCCTTCGCCTTTTGTGATGACAACACCCCTTCAGGTAATGCATTCCAGGAACCAACTACTCTACGTGATAGCCCAACGCTGGTCAAATGCCATCGGATCGTGGTTTGTACAACTTCACTGAATGACCACAGAGAGATGGTAGTAGGATTGGCTCAAATAGTCCAGACAAATCAGACCAATTTTTCCAGTCAGAATACGATAAGTTAGAATCAAGTCACCACGATGTTGGCGACAGTGCGACGAAAACATTAGAACGTCTCTCGGGATACGACAGGTGACGTAGTCCGTTGAACCATTTTGGTGACAACCCTAAGGACGCGCTCCACTGGCCCACAAAACCGAATGGGGTGATTAAGTTTTTTAAATGTGTATTAACACCTGCCTCGGACCGACGCATGCTCCAATACTGGCCGGGGACTACGATCGTATTTCGTTCGCAACGCGAAGGCTTTGCGTCCTGGCGCCTTTACATTTTCCATACGCGGATTCCTTGATGTGACCTATTACTTGCAGCCTCATCATGTATACTTTAACTGAAGCTTACATGAGACTGTATCGGGTGTTGTCGAGAAATGAACATAGCACAACCGTCAGCAATGAAAGGTAACGGCACAAGTATGTTCGAGTTAAATTATGCAATACGGTACATCGCCTATCGAACAGCTTAGAATTAGAAATGAAACCCAGTGGAACGGTCAATAGTTGGTTTATACTTGCGCCTACGATGAAATGCCCGAAGCGTGGTATAGGTATACATAAAAATTTCAATCTTATCTGTACTCAAGTCAAGCCAAGCCAAGTCAAAATAAGCTTTGTGTATCCAGACGAGTTCATTTTCAACGCTGTACAATATCGACAACGGATCAGCTAAAATAGAGTATCAGAACTAAATTTGTAGGAGCGGATAAAAGGACACTGTGTAGAAGTGTCACTTGAATAAATGAGCAGTGTAAAACTGCAACAATTGAACAGTTCCGGACGGATTAATTTAAAGTCAGTGTTACAAGCTAGCATTTCAATCGGAACCATCTATTATCACGTTCACATTATCTTGAAATTTTCTCAAAGATTACTCGAAAGACAGCAGTGGTGACCTTGCAAATAGCTTGACTAATATCAGTGAGGAAATATTTTGAGAAAACTAATGTGTCCAAAGCGATATTGTAAAAACCTGGTTCAGTGATAACGGCAAGGCCGATTTAAAGGCCTCGTCAACAGTCCACGAGTTCTACATGCTAGACTATAGTACATTACGCTTATATGTATGCACTTCGTCCAGTCCCTTTCAAGATGAAAGTGGCTAATTTAAAGGAACGAGTTGCTGCTTAGGGGCCAACTAGGTAGCCGATCAAACGTGAAGACCAAATGTCAGTCATTGTCACTCATCTATGTCGCTCGCCGATTGTTTGGCGTTTGGTTAGACCACAATGAGTTCCTTGGCTATTTTGTCCTTCTGGAGCAAAGAAGGGAATATCATTTGTTTTGCTACAGGGTCCGATATAGTGTGGTGGCACCCGTCTAAACAAACACTGAATTGCAACCGTTGCCAGTTTCGCCTACCGGCTGCGCTGGCAACCGGATTTTAGCGGTGCATCTGATATTCCTTTTAGTGGCCACTCCGCCCCAAATACTGTGCAGCCCTTTTGGGTAGGTCACACATACGGAGCTGGTACATGTATGATTTTCGCCGGACGCAGGTCGGTTGCAACTCACAGTGCCCTCTCCGTGTACCTGGTAGCATGCTGCCGAGAACCATCAATCCTACCTAGAGCACGCCAATATCCTCAAAGGGGCAAAACGCCAACAAGTACGTGAATTCATTGAAGCCTGGCATTCAAAACAGAACTCGAGCAATAAGCACTTGGACATTAAAGTCGCTTACGAGGCACTGCGAACCAGACCCCTGGAGCCGCACTAATGATATTGCTTAGTCAGGAAACGAAGCGTCTGCACGATAATCCCTCAGCTCGGAGAACAGCTCAAAATACGTAACCAGTCCCGTTACCGGTCATGATGACGGACACTTTGGCAAACCTTAAACAGTAAGTTAAGGCCGCAAATTGAACGAAGGCTAGTGCGATATCCCGTTGCTCAGGCTTTTCGAATGTATTAGAAACCGTAACAAGCTAGCTAAGTTTAAGTGTGTATCGAAGTCGAGAAAGCTGGAATGGTGTGCCGAGTTATTCAAACTGCTGCAGACCGGTCAATTATATGAGAAATGATTAATACAACTTGTCTAAGTAGATAAATGTACATAGAGGGATTACATGATCGAGTTTCTAACCAAAACGATTAAAAGGACTCATGTGAACAGAACTCGCAATGATCAAACGCTGAGGGGCCTTTGTCACTCAATTTCGCTGGAGTTGTTGAGACATGAAAGCAGTTGTGGTTGTGCCTGTCCACAAGTACTCTGTGTATGTGTGGCCCAACGTCAGACAAGCTATCCAGTCAGTGCGTCTGTTGTCAGTAGGTTGGCTTCTGGGTGAAAATGTGGCACATCTCATATTCATTGGGCACGTGACAAACCTAATTATTACGAAAAACTTTTGCCATCACTCCACAACTGAAAAGGATAATCGTCGGACAGCTAAAGTCATGTCATTGTTTGTGAGTGGCTAATAAGGTGTGTGTAGTTACTGGGAAAGTTTCCGATACCAATGCTTCAGTTTTATGTTTCTGCCAAGCTTTCCTTTACGGTGTACTTTCTGATGTGTTTCCCGAATAATCATGTTGGGTGAGATCACCCCACGTGACTGTTTCAATTTCATAGCCCACATTACCTCCTTCTGCCCGCTCTCAATTATCAGCTCTGCGACACAAAATAATGAACACTATTCATAACCTACGGATTCTTTTGTACGTGAGGTTTATTATTCTGTATGGGTTGGCTGCACTGACATCGCGTTCAGTCGAGTAAACCACAAACTAACGCAAAACTGACAGAATTATTTTTACTAATACAGTTCCAATTGGCACATGAGTTATTGATTACTGCTTGCTCAAAGAATGTTTGCTTGCAATACGGTGCCATTGCCTGGTGCGTACACACTCATCCGTTTCAGGCACCCACCTATTCTGCCGTTTAACCTTGAACGCTCACGTGTTCTGTTATGTGACAGATGTTGATCGCAAAAGAAAGCAGTTTCTTGCGCAGAATCCACTTATCTCTTCTCAAAAGTGAGCTGATATTGACAATTCACTATGCGCCATTTTGGCTGGAATGCTCTCATAGCTTTTGTTTGATTTGTGATTAGGTCAACACATCAAATCATGCTGTTTCTATTTGGAATGTACCGTGTAAGTAGTCCGTGTCTAACAGCATGTATTTTTCTCATTTAGCTTCATCGCAAATCGCTGAATAAGTCAGATGTACTAAATGTTTCTGTCTAATCGCTAATTATATCATTCTTCACTTGGTTTCTGTCTGAAACTACAGATGTTACTTTCATTGGCTTGTAATGACCATTGGGATCCGGCATGCAGCAACTTAGAAGCAACCTTTACCCGACACATCTTCGACGTTTCTTTCGTTTTAATATTATTTCGGAGTGTAACTGAAGTGCACCCCCCTCTACCACTTATGGACCTGAGTAGCTCAACAAGTATCGCAGTGCTGGGATCTTGTAACCCACGTCTGACTTCATTATTTATCAACATGCCTGTGTGAAGACAATCTGATATCACGTTCTTCTGTGTGTATCCCTGGATTGAATCCAGATTTCACTTAATTCAGTCTTCATTCCACTGGCTCTTTGGCGGTTTTAGGACAATTGGTTTGTTACTTGGCCTCATCCGTTCCTATTCGTTCGGTGCTCTGCTCTGATAACTACGGTGAAGTAGATAATGTGTAACAAGTAACGAACACTATAGGTTTTACCGTCTTAGTTCACGGACCTTCACTGTCAACGTGCCCCATTTGTCTCCTATTTTATGATGTCAACTGCCTTCGTACGATTACCTTAGCCACAATGTAGTGGTGTGTCCATCACGTACATCCACCTAGGCTTGTTGTCCTGTCAGTTGGTTTAACATGGTCGGAAACAGACAGTCCACTACCTTGCATATTTTAAGTTGTCTTTCCTCAGTCGAAAAACTCATGTTAACCAGACATTACTTCTCGTGTTGGCAAAGACCACATTCTTTTTCAGGAAATTTGCCACATCATCTGAACAGTCAGGATCTGCCACCTACAAGTTGTCACGATGAGATCGTAGACCTTTTGATAGCGGTTACACTCAGCGCATCGGTTCGGTTCCGAGTGTGTAGTGGCTATAAGACATTGACTGGCTGTGATGACTTTCTTTCCAGCAGCAGTTTGCAGTAAGCCTAAACCACGGCCTCTATCTCCAACTACTAAGAGCTTACAGTAATTAAATGTGGGCCACTTTGGGAATTATTAGGGTGTCTTTTGACCGCCTTACTGCCAGCTGGGGCTAAGTCCATCGGTCTAGAAATGATTGCCAAGAGATTACTGGATGCGAATTGCTTCACCATTTACATAATGAGTCACGTTCGAGCATAATCAAGTTGGTGCACGTGTCAAATTATTTTAACCTGATCAACTCTAATTCTTTATCATATTTATCATCTACTGCGTCCGTTTGCTCACAGCTTGGAAATACGCGCCAGATTTTGGCATGGTCTAGCACTAAGCAATTGCTTTACCGCTGTTCGATGGGGACAGAAACCATCTGCCAGTCACCAGAGGTCTGTCTGAAAAATCAGCTAACCTTACCATGCATTATATATATATATATATTGGTACTGGCAGCAGTCTATAAAATAGACATCGAGCCATTAAAAACAATGGAATTTGGAATACAGCATAATAAAACCTAAAACGCAAAAGAATTTGATAATGCAGGAAAAAACTGTGACGACTGTTTTTTGTGGTTTTACTCACGCCACTTTGACGATTTTGGCCGTATTTAAGGGTTAACATTTTCTAAACGTGAAATCAGGCAGACTTGTGTGTACTGTTTTCACTACGACCGGTTTTGCGCTATGGGTTCTAGCGTTGTGAGCCCTTGGCTTTCTACATCTTTAGGTCCCCAGCCGGAGAGACGAACTGGACCAGTGATGGCCAGGCAAGATGTCATCGATTTCATACCTTATTACCAGGTGGACGGTTGACTTCAATGCAGCATTTTCCAGAGTAACTTTGCGTGCGCAAACAGTGCCCAGCGTTGTAAACGCTCGTAAGGCAGGCGCAGTACGTGGCCAAACTATCTCAGTTGACGCAGCCGGACGATATCACAAAGCGGAGCTTCGACCTTACCCAAGACGCGATGCCTAACGTTGTCATTACACACTCGGTGTTGCCAACGCACGCGGGCCATCCTTCGCAAACAGCTACTGTCGAAGGCCGAAAGACGACGCATGTCTTCCATACGGATCGGCCAGGATTCGCATCCGTACAGCAATGTCACGCGTGCCCAGAGTTTGTAAACTTTGCCTTTTAGCAAAAGTGAAATGTCGCGACGGCGCCAATGTCATAAGTTGACAAACACTGACCGGGATTTGGCGATTTGTAGTGATACCTCTGCTCCAATAGTGCCGTCGGCAGAGACGCAGCTCCCTGGGTAGATTAAGCTATTTTCGTGCTCGAAATGAGTTTCTTCGATTGTGAATTGGGGGTGGGGTGCTTGCCAGTCCTGTCGAAGAACTTTGTACTTGGAGGGAGCAAAGCATATATCAAACTTAGATTCTTCAATCCCCAACCGATCAATGAACGATTGCCATAAAAGATATTGTCTCGGACCGAGCCCCCTATCTACATCTTTGCAATGGCTGCCTAGTGCATGGCGGCTGTCCGAATTAGTGTAAATGCCGCTATAGTAGAAGAGAGTAACTCATCGGACAGAAGCGTCTTGCACGACTCGATAAAGGATGAACCGGCCAGCCGATCTCGTTTGGTAAATCTCGTTTAAAATCGATCCACTTCCTTTTTACCATTACTTTTTCGGAACTGGTGAGCGTTACTGTAGCCTAGGATATGACAGACAAGACCTGCGTGGCTCTTAGTCCCATGGAATCGCCATGCACGTGTCTATGAAGCACTTTGGTATTGGGAGCCAATGAAAACAAAATTATTGGTGGGTTTCAACTTTAGTACCGCCAACAATCATGGGCAAATAAGTAAAATTCGACATAAATAAACTTAGATAACTATTGTTATTTGAGCTATGGATTAACGATGCTAGTGTTATATATACTCAGTCGCTGACGGGCAGATTTTTAATCAGTTGCTCATCTTTGAGGAGGCCAAGGCATTGATGATGGCTGTGGTATAACGAGTTGAGTTGAGTCTAATTCCCTAAAGAGTTTGCTTGTCGGTAGATGATAGACAATGGTCCGTTTTAATACAACATTTCAGTATTGCCTCGGACCAGGCTCATCCATTTTCATAAGTGTGTAAACAATTGGGGTTACTTTGTTGGAGACAAGTTGTGGAATCTATTTGGTTGGTTAAAAAGAAGTTAAATTTACGCAGCACGGTGTACCTTTAGATTTTCGTCTACGATGTTCGTTTGGCTCTTAGCAGCGTAGACGACAACCGAGCCGTACTACTACCTCGCTTTATCTTGACTCTCGCTTCACCGTTGATTGTCTTACCAATTTTCGTCACATATTCCTGTGCACATGCTCATTCGAACTAGTTCGATGAGTGCCACTCAGTACTTCCATCTCTTAGATCTATCTTGTGTTGTTCTAACTGTTACTTAAGTTTACAGTCTTAAAACATTCATTTCGGAAACCGACGTGCACGAATATATAACTTCTGAGCTGTTCAAGAATAAATGCGAGCCCATTCGGAAGGGAAGCTGAGGACCCTTAAACAATCCTGAAACCATTTCAGCAAGTCACAGCACAAAAAGCTACGGGATATTTTGTGCCCGTATACCACTAAAACTTTCTATGAATATACTGCTTGTCAGCGCTTTGCTTGCCTCCTTGCACAACACTCGCCGATAGGTACACTCTGCCTCGTCGTGTAGGTGTGTGCACACAACCGCGAGTCAAATGATTGTCGAATACGACAATTTGCGTGCGGCCGAGAGAGAGCCGCCTGTCTCGGCTAAATGATATTGAGGCCGGAAGTTTTATTTTATGGTCCATGGTTGGGGTAACCGTCAACACAACATTCATGTGATCTGATGGGCGCGAGTGGATGGCACGCTGTGCCGAAAGGCGCCTCTGGGGAGTGAAACAAGACCGAAACTTAGGGGCTTCCGCGTTCTAACTTCGCCACCTATTTCCACGCCAAATGCGCAGGCGTCAAACCAGAGGAGTTCAGGCTGATCAGCGGCCGATCAAAGTCATTTTGTTCTGCGCCCAGTGTTTTACCGTCCCATTATGTATAACCGTAATTGCACTGGCCCAGAAGTACGAAAGGCTGGCAAAAGTGGTTGAGCAAATTTTGGGTACCAAAAGCGCTTCAGAAGAAACTAGCATAGCAGAATGTATAACATATTCCTCTCCACCGAACTCCACTGCAAGCTAATGTCACAAGGTCAGGTGGGCTACTAACAAAGTAACCCCATGCAGGCACAGTAAACAAACACACTGCCATTCCAGAACCATTCACCTCAATCCAATGTGTAATAATTTCCTACAAACCCAATTCATCCAACCAGGTGTCACCGAAACTCAGAAAACAAGGCAATATAAGTGACAGCTGGTACATAGTTGTACCTAAGAACACGCGAAAATCTGCAGCTGCAGTGTCTACTATCACCCCTAAGGCAATCGTGAGTGACAACGCCGCACTGGTGAGAAACATATCGCCCGGTCTCCCAACCCCGAACCATACTCCCATGGTAGATTCTCAGAATCAACGTGGTGCTCTATATATAATATGTACCAAGGTTCCGGAGTCAACATCGAGTTCCTTGGGAGGAGACAGGTGGGTGATCTGAACCAATGGAACGCCTGAGTAACCTGCTCGGTACTGTCTAACCCAATTCCAAGTGCCCTCTGATGTCACCGCCAAAACGTCTAGTGGTAGGCTATAAAACGAACGGCACAGTCTTTTATCCGAACCATGTGTCTTTCAACTTGCTGCTGAAAACCAGAAAACTTTACTGCATGTACACCAATGCCCAAGCGTATTTGACAAAATTGCCGAGCTTCGTTTGCGTCAGGCAACAAACTCTCGGGACCTCATTTTTAAAATC